TGCCGCGCGCTAGGTGGTCCAGCCCGTTTCGCATGAGACATCCTCTCAATTCGGGGCTTCGAGATGCGCGCGAGGTGATCCGGCGCGTTTCGCCTGATACATCCTCGCAATTCGGAGCTCCGAGATGCTGCGCGCGAGGTGGCGCGACCCATTCGCTTCAGCACATCCTTGCAACTCTGGGCTCCAAGACGCCGAGCGCGAGGTGATCTGGCGCGTTTCGCCTGATACACCCTTGCATCTCTGGGCTCCGAGATGCCACGCGCGAGGTGGTCTGGTGCGCTTCGCCTGAGACATCCTCGAACCCCCTCGCAACTTTGGGCTCCAAGACGCCGCGCGCGAGGTGGTCCAACCCGCTTCGCCTGAGACATCCTCGCCACTTTGCGCTCTGAGATGCCTCGCACGAGGTGGTCCAGCCCGTTTCGCCTGAGACATCCTCGCAACTCGGCGCTCCGAGACGCGCGCGAGGTGATCCAGCGCGTTTCGCCTAATACACCCTCGCAATTCGGGGCTCCGAGATGCCACGCGCGAGGTGGTCCGACCCAGTCGCTTCAGTATATCCTCACAACTCTTGGCTCCAAGACGCCGCGAGCGAGGTGGTCCAGCGCGCTTCGCCTGGCACTCCCTTGCAAGTCTGGGCTCCGAGATACCGCGCGCGAGGTGGTCCGACCCGCTTCGCCAGAGATATCCTCGGATTCCCTCGCAACTCTAGGCTTCAAAGCGCCGCGCGCGAGGTGATCTGGCGCGTTTCGCCTGATACACCCTTGCATCTCTGGGCTCCGAGATGCCACGCGTGAGGTGGTCCGGTGCGCTTCGCCTGAGGCATCCTCGAAACCCCTCGCAACTTTGGGCTCCAAGACGCCGCGCGCGGTGGTCCAGCGCGCTTCGCCTGATACACCCTTGCAACTCAAGGTTCCGAGATGCCGCACGCGAGGTGGTCCGACCCGCTTCGCCTGAGACATCCTCGCCGCTCTGTGCTCTTGAGATGCCGCGCGCGAGGTGGTCCAGCCCGTTTCGCGAGACGTCCTCTCAATTCGGGGCTTCGAGATGCGCGCGAGGGGATCCGGCGCGTTTCGCCTGATACATCCTCGCAATTCGGGGCTCCGAGATGCTGCGCGCGAGGTGGTGCGACCCATTCGCTTCAGTACATGCTCGCTTGCTCGCTCACATTTCTTGGCTTCAAGACGCCGCGCGCGAGGTAATCTGGCGCGTTTCGCCGGATGCACCCTTGCAACTCTGGGCTTTGAGATGCCGCGCGCGAGGTGGTCCAGCCCGTTTCGCCTGAGACATCCTCGCAAACCTGGGCTACGAGACGCCGCGCGCGAGGTGATCTGGCGCGCTTCGCCTGACACACCCTTGCAACCCTGGGCTCCGAGATGCTGCGCGCGAGGTGGTCTGGCGTGTTTCGCTGGTGATTTTCGCGCAAATCTGGATTTCGAGATGCTGCGCGCGAGGTGGTCCAGCCAGTTTCGCCTGACACACCCACGCAGTTCGGGGCTCCGAGATGCTGCGCGCGAGGTGGTCTGGCCTGTTTCGCCTGAAACATCCCCGAAAGTCTGGGCTCCGCGAAGGAGGAGGGAGGTGTCGGGAGCGGCCAAAAGGGGGGTGTCCAAGAGGGGGGGGGTGCAAATCATGACCGGCGGCGTGTGCGCGGCCCAGCGGGGTGGCCAGGGACGTAAGGTAATGAAACAAGAAGAGGCGCCATGAAATGTGGGAAATATCATGGCCCACGCCATGATATCCCCCCCCCTCGTCATCACCCCCCTCTTTGCTGCCCCCGAAGGTGGAGTCGGACCAAGACGAACCATTTGATTGCACGTCTGTTGTTGGACTGTGCTCTGGGAGGCGTCTGGGCACCGCCTGAGGCATCCTCGCAACTCTGAGCTCCCAGATGCTGCGCGCGAGGTGGCCCAGCCCGTTTCGCCCTCGCAACCTTGAGTAATACGTTACTTCGAGCTCATGCTCCCGAGACCACAGTCGCTGGTAAACTATACACGTCGGTCGGAAGAAGTAGGTAAAAAACATGAAGTAGGAAGGCGGAGATAGTGGATTGGGTCCAGGTCCTCCCAGAGAATAACAAAACACAGCAGAAGCATGTCGATTCTTGAAATAGGAAGGCGCTTGAAATAGATTGGGATCTGGGAATCCAAAAATACCTACTTTCAAAGACCGGCATGTAATAAATCTGCATCCTCGAAATGATAATCTGTCGTAATCGCGCTCCCGAAGCCGCCCCCTGTAAATTACGGCGCGCTCGCTATCACTGCGCATTCGCGTTCCCTAAGCTACCGATTCCAACCCGCTGAAGCCGCCAAAAACCGCCACCCTCTCCCCAGAGCAAAAAAACATACTCAGTGTTGGGGCATGTGTTCGGGGGGGGGGGGCGCTTATCTCCCCCCGTCGTGTCTTGAGAATTCGGCTCTGGACCCAAGACTACGAATCCTCGAACATACCCAGAGGTGTGCGCTTCCGAAACCGGGAACCCTGGTAACTTAAAGTGGAAGCACACTCCCGAGGCCATCATCCCGCACGAGTTACTACAGACGCGCGCAACCAGCCAGCCAGCAAACAAACACAACCAGATACGAGCTAGTCAGACGAGTTGCCCGCCAGCCGCCGTCAAGAATAACCCACCAGCCTACCGACCACGCGTGGCCACGCAAGCAACCTGGGAGGGGTAGAAGGTGACGCCAGACAGACAACGATTATTCAACATCAGTCCACGAGCCCCCACTTGCAGTGGTTGAAATGTGTGTGTGTGTGTGAGAGTGATGATTGGCTGTCCCCCTCCCCCTGTTCCTCTTCCCCGGGGGCCGTGAGGGGGGGGGGCGGGAGGGTGGAAGTGACGCGGGGGCCCGAAGCTCCTGCGCTCTGCAACTTTTCGCAGGGCCCTGGAGACATTCAACATGACCCCACATAGTCAGATGTCTCCGAATTCAGGATCCGCCACCGCGCTGGCCGCTCACAGACCCAGTGGAGTGTCCTCGGGTCCTTTCGAGCTCTCTGTGCTGGGTGCTGCAAATACTCCTGGCCCAAAACCCCAACTCGCAGATCGCATTGGGCGTTCCGCGCGATGTTCCCGCGGAGCTCCCCGCGTGACTCCCCCGAAGGCCAGAAAGCACCAATGTGGGCCAGGAGGCCCCCGAATAGGCCCAAGACGGTCGAAGGGGCCCCCAGTCGGCCTAAGAAATCCCCAAGGTGGCCCCAGGACGGCCCAAGAGAGCCCCAAGGTGGCCCGAGAGGCTGCCAAGACAGCCCATGGACATCCATGGACGGCCCAAGTGGGCCCCGATACGGCCCACGGGGCCCCCAAAACGGCCCCTGGAGGCCCCGCGAAGGCACCGAGGCTGCCCAGAGAGGCCACCAAGACGGCTTCCGAGCGAGAGCGCCAGAAAGCCCGAGGGAGCCCGAAGACGCCCACAAGAGGCCTGAGGAGGCCCCCCCACAGGCCCCCGAGAGCCCCGAGAGACCCCCGAGAAGAAGCCTCCCAAGTGCCCCCACTCACTTGCTCACAAAGCCACGTCGCACGACACATCGGCTCAGCAGGGGAAAATGCTCGCCGCGCAGGAAGGGCCGCAATCAGAGGCTACACCTAAGCCTCTATAGGGTCAGCGGACACGACATCTTGTTTAACAACTGCTTTCCACAGTGCTCCCAGGAGGCCCCAAACGCCCATGCTCCAGGTGGTCTGGACGTCAGCCGTCTCCAGCGGGTGGATCAAGGGAAGGGACTGTACTTGTCCTAGCTCAAGGGCTCGCCTCCAACAAGTGCATGAAGTCTGACAGCGTTGGGGGACGCCGTAAGAGCAGAAGGCAATGAAGAGCTCGGGAAGGACGATGCAAGACTGGAACACACACCACGGAGGCAGACGGCGCAAACATCACAACCTGCATTCCTAAACCGATCCGCGCACGCCCGAACTGATCCACGCGGGCTTCACCCAGGCAGGCACAGTGCGCCGGAGAGGGAATCGCGAGGAGGCGAGGAAAGACTACCCAAGCGATCGATCGGGGCGGGCTGCGGCGGCAGCTGGAGATACCCTGCAGCAGAGCGAGAGAAAGTGGTGGCTAGCCTGTGATTCTGCACCACCTGGCGACCACTTTCCTGTCAGTTTTCTTGCTCAGGATATCCGCTGTCGGCTTGCTGCACCCATGGCGGCTGCTTTGCTCGCCCAGAACCACATCGCTAGCAAGCTCTTTCTGCACCTCCCTCTTCATCTCCTCAAGGCGGGCTGGAAGGAGTCGTCCTTGGCTTCGAGGGCGTCTCTTGCGCGCTTCTCTTGCGTGCTTCTCGGCTGTTCCCTTGGCCTTATGACCTTCTCACCCTCACTTGAACAACTACCACGCACTCGCCATTCGGATGGTGGTGCTCCTACATTGTCGGAATGGAGGCTCGGGTCATCTTCAAACTCAATGCCACTTTCGGACTGCCTCCTGTTGCCGCATGGGACCCAGCTGGGCTGCGCACCTGGGACCTTCGGCGGGGCTCCTCTGGGGCCACGAGGCGTGTGAGGGGTGTGCCGAAATGGGTGGCGGGGACGCATGCGGGCTGCGCCACTGGGACTTCGGTGGAGCGCCTATGGGGCCGCGAAGCGTGTGAGAGGTGTGCCGACATGAATGACAGGGACGCTTGCGGGCTGCGTCACTGGGACACTCGGCCGAGCTCCGATGGGGGCCACAAAACGTGAGAGGATTGTGCCGAAATTAGTGGTGGGGGCGCATGCGGGCTGCACAACTCGGACCTTCGGTGGAGCTCTTATGGGGCCACGAAACGTGCGAGGTGTGTGCCGAAATTGGTGGCGGGGACGCATGCGGGCTGCGCCACTGGGATCCTCGGTTGAACTCCTACGGGGGTCACGAAACGTGTGAGTGATTTACCCAAGTAAGGGGGGTGACGGGAGGAGGGAGGGAGGGAGGGAGGAGGAGGAGAGGAGGAGCAGGAAGGCGGGGACTGTCTCTTCAAAACGAGGACCCAACAACCGGCTGGTTGGGAACATCACTTTTGGGGGATACTGGGCTCCATCTATCACTCAGCGGACGACGCTGGACTCGCAGTAGCCAGGGCAAAGCCGCCAGCGCGCGACCGCGGTCTCGCACCAGCGCAGCTCCTGGAGGCCGCCGACGATGGCGGCCCTCGCCCTGGACAGCTCCCCGACCAGCGCCCGCTCGCCCTCGCCGCCCTCGCGGGCGAGCGCCGCCACGGCGCGGGTGCCGTCGCGCGCCACCAGCGCCAGCAGCGCGAGCAGGTCCAGCCGGAGCCCGGCGCCCTCCATGTGCGCGTCGGGCTCGGGGGCGGAGAGGACGCCGTGGATGTAGTAGGCCATCTCCCAGGCCGGCGGGTAGCTCCGCGGCCCGCTCTGGAGCCGGACGGCGGCGTCCAGCGCGCCCCTCCAGCGGTGGGGCTCCGCGCGCGCGGCCACGGCCGACGGCCTCGGGGGGGTGCCTGGGCGCCTCGCGACCACCTCGAGGTCGCGCACCCTCTGGGCCAGCCCCTCGCCCGAGAGCTGCGCGAAGCGCCGCGCCTGCACGAAGAGGACGCCGTGCAGCGCCTCGACCAGGTCGGGCCGCGCAGCGTCTCCGATGCCAACGGCCAGCGGTCTGGCGCCCAGCGCGGCGGCCAGGTGCTCCGACGCCCTCTCCAGCAGCGGCACGTAGAGCCCGGAGGTGAAAAGGACGCCGACGCCGGGCGGCCGCGCCAGCGCCGGCGCGGGTCGCCCAGTGGTAGTGCCCGAGGCCGTCGCTGCCGCAGCGCTACAGCTGGCCGCGCCGCCTGCGCTGGCCCGTCTGTCGAGGGAGGCGTCAGAGTGTGAAACGCGCGCGGGCAGGCGAGCAAAGGTGCGGTTGAGCGAATGGAAGAGGCCGAAGAGGTACTCCTCCTCGGCATGCAGCAGGCAGTCCAAGCACTGTGCGTCGATCCAGCCGCCTCCGTGCGCCCAGGCACCAGGTGCCGGATCCACTATGCGCGCGAGGACGTGCGAGGCCTCGGGTAGCGACCAGCAGTCAGCCAGGACCTCCCCCTTCGGCGGGTCGCGCTGGAGGCAGGAGGACACCGCCTCCACGAAGGCTGTCCGCTCCACTGGCCCCGAAGCGCGAAAAAAACCGGCGGCCTGGATGCGCCGGCGCTGCAGCAGCGGGAACTGTTCCCCAGACAAGAGCCTCTCCGCCAGCTGCGGCGCCGTCAACCGCCATGCGCAGTAGGCGTCCAGAGCGCCAAGGCCATCTGGGTCTTGAGCGAGGCTCCGCCTCATCCTCGCCGACGCAACGATGCGGGAGTGCCTGGCCACCCTGACCTCCACCGAGGCCGCAGTGGCCCTCCACTGTGCGAAGCTCCCCGGGCGCAGCAGTCTGCACACCTCCAGGCAGAAGGCATCGTGCAGCAGCACCGGCGGCGCGCCGGGAGGCTCCGGCTGTGGCGCACCGCCCTGGGCGGGCCAGGCTGGCGCCGGGGACTGAAGGAGGACCGACGCCATCGGAGCAGCGCCCGCTGCTCAGCCAGCGGCTGCGCGGGCCTGCGCTTGAGCCAACGGCTGCGGAGTGATGCGGAGAAACGATTGCTTCATTTGAGGGGAGTTTCAGTGGAGCCCACGCATCCCGCCCCCCGGCGCGCGAAGAGAGGCCAACAGCTGAGCTTCCTGCACAGCTTCCAGCGGGACCGGGGGAGTCTGACGGAACCTGGAGCAAAATCCCAAACCGGCTCCCTCGCTCGGGTCATGGCCGGAAAATCGCCCCCGTGGGAGAGGCCAAGAGTGCTTCCTGCGCCGTGTCTGGAAAAACGCATTCTTCATCTCAACCGCAGAGCGGTCATCGAATCAGAAGTGGGGAAGGAAGAGGATACGGCAATGTGGATGATGATAATGACAACGAGCAAGATGAGGAGGAGGAAGAGGAGGAGGGGGAGGGAGGAGGAGGAGGAGGAGGAGGAGGAGGAGGAGGGAGAGGAGGAGGGAGGAGGAGGAGGAGGAGGAGGAGAAGGAGGAGGAGGAGGAGTAGCCTGAGAGGAGGAGGAGGAGAAGGAGGAGGAGGAGGAGGCGAAAGTAGAAGAGGGCGAGAAGCGGAGCCGTCGGACACTGCAGGTTGCCAGCTCGGGGGGAACCAGGCAGGATGCGCCTGGCTGTCAAGTCTGTCCCAACACCACGTCCCACATCTCCTTCACCATTGACAGGGCCTGACGCCGCTGCATGCCCTCCTCGCACGCGCTGGCCACAGCGCTGCAACTGATGACGTCCGGCGTCAGCCTCGCCTCCCGCAGGCCACCCAGCAGCGACAGCACGTGCTGCCACCGCCCCGCCCTCTCGCACGCGCTGATGGCCGAGTTGTAGCAGACGAGGTTGGCCTCCAACCTCGCGTCCACGAGCTCGCCGATCAGCGACAGCGCCTGCCGCCACTCCGAGCACTTCTCGCACGCGCTGACCACAGCGCCGTAGGTGATGACGGTGGGATGAAGTCTGGCCCTCCGCAGCTCCCGGAACAGCGACAGTGCCCGCTCGAGCTGCCCGCCTGTCCCGCACGCGCCGATCCTGGCGTTGTAACTGACGATGTCCGGATCTAACTTCGACTCCAACAAATCACTGCACAATGACAATGCCTGCTGCCACTGACCGCCCTTCTCACACGCGCTGACTAAAGCGTTGTACGTGATAACAGTAGGCTGCAATCTCGCCTCCCGCAACTCCCTGAACAACGATATCGCCCACTGCCACTGCCCGCCTTTTTCGCACGCGCTGATTCCAGCATTGTAGCTAACCGCGTCCGCCTCCACTTTCGTTTCGCACATCTCGCCGAGCAGCCACATCGCATGCTGCCACCGCCCACCTTTCTCACACGCGCTGATCCCAGCATTGCAGCAAATGACGTTCGCCTCCAACTTCACTTGCCGTAGTTCACTGATCAATGACAAAGCTTGCTGCCACTGTCCGCCTTTCTCACAAGAGCTGACTCCGGCGCCGTAGCTGATGATGTTGGGCTCCAACTTTGCTTCTCGCAACTCCCTCAGCAATGACAGTGCCTGCTGCCACTGCCCACATTTCTCACACGCACTGATTCCAGCACTGTAGCTAACGATGTCGGGGACCAACTTGGCCTGCGACACCTCGCTGACCAATGACAGGGCATGCCTCCACTGCAAGCCTTTCTCGCACGCGCTAACGCCAGCGTTGTAGCTGATGACGTCCGCCTTCAAGCTCGCCTGCGGCAGCAAGCGCAGCTAAGCCAGCGCTTGCTGCCAGTTCTGGCTCTTCTCGCACGCGCTCATCGCAGCGTTGTAGCAGATCAGGCTGGGCTCCAGGTTCTCGGCACGCAGCAGGCCGCTGAGCAGCGACAGGGCCTGTGACCATTCTCCCCCCTTCTCGCAGGCGCTGATCCCGGCTCCGTAGCTCACGACGCTGAGCTCTAACGCTGCCTCCACCATTTCGCCAAGCAGCGACAGCGCCAGCTGCCACTGCCGCCCTGCTCCAAGTGCGCTGACGACGCAGTTGTAGAGGACGGTGTCGACATGCACGTGTGTCTGCGACTTCGCCTCTCTGAAGAGCTGAAGCGCTGTCCTCCACTGCTTCCTGCTCGTGCACGTCTTTATCGAGTCTGCGATGGCAGAGCCTAAAGTTTCGCACGGACAGCACCCCAGGGCCCCCGAAAAAGAACTGGCTGGCCTCAACAGGCCCGCCAGGTGGTCTCTGGCTGTCTCGAACCCAGCCAGAATCGGCGGTAAAATTCAGGCCGCTACAGAATTTCCTCCGTAACATCACTTCGCCCTGCCCATTTCGCAAGGCTCACTTCCCCCAGCTCGCTCCGCCTGCCTCGGGCCGGCCCGACCCGCCTGCCAGGGCCGTCCCGCCCGACCTGCCTGCCAGGACTCGCCCGCCCGCCGCCCGCTCGCACGCTTGAGAAGCCGCCCGCCCACTGGAATGTCCAGTCCGTCCGACCCGTCCGTTAGGGTCCCGCCCGCCCGACCCGCCCACGAGGGCCCCGTCCGCCAGACCCGCCCACTGGCGTCCTGCCTGTCCGACCTGCCCCGACGAAGCGGGTCCCGGCGAATCGGGCCCTGGCGAAGCGAGCCCTGGCCGACCGAGCCCTGGCAGGGCGGGCCCTGGCGGCGCGAGCCCGAGTGACGCGAGACTCTGGCGGAGCGACTGCGTGCCGTTCAGACCGCCCCGGGCTGCCCTCGGGGCCTCTTGAGGCCAGACGGGACAATCTTCGGGGGGTGCCTGCGCACATCTGTAGGCCTTGCCAATCTGCGAACAAAGCGGCCGACGGCCGAGACCTCGGCCGTCCCGACGCACAGGAAATCTGTGCCATCCCGGTCTTCTTAAGCTCGCGCTTCGCGCTGCACGATGCACGATCGCTTTCTCGCCGCGCCCGTGGAGAAAGACATCTCCACGGCCCCAGCTGCGAAGCGTGAGTCTCGCCCCCGTGGGAAAGCTAGACCATGGTCTGTGGGCTGGCGTTTGAGCCAAAACGGATGCGGAAGCAGGATGGGGGGAGGGGGGGAGAGGCGACGCAAGAGAAGAGGACGAACAATAGCAACCAGAAGGGGGGCGGAGAAATGGAAAAAGGGAGCCGCCTCCAACAACGCGCAAGGCGAAACATGCATAGACTGGCTCACCGTGGGCCGATCTACGCGCACTTGACATCTTGAGATCATCAGGGGCGAGCACCCTGGGATAGCCACGGTCATCTTATGTGAACCCTTGCACGTTGGACTCTCATCTTGCCTCCCTCCTGTCCAGCACCAGACGTGTCTGTAGGACTGACCGTGCGATTCCCCCGAGACTTCCACACGCGTTCACACCAGGAGCATTGAAACTTCGGGCGAGTACATGGATGTTCGAGTCGATCTGTGTAGAGAAACGCATGCTGGCATTCCTACAGGCCCTCCAGCCTAAGCCCTACATGCCGCCGCGCTGGTCCCGGGCAGGCTGTGCTGCCCGGCGGAAAGGGGCGACGAGGGGAGAAGCGGGCAGACGACGACTAACGCCCAGGCGGGAGGCCAGGGCCGTCGGGGCGGGCGGGCAGACAGAAGAGGGGCCAGGCGGAGACAGCAGGCAGGGAGCAGGAGGAAAGGAAAGGGAGGGAAGCAACGAGCAGAAGGGGTGGGAGGAGGACGACAAAAAGGAGGGGAGGGAAAGCAACCGCAAGCAAGCAGGCCAGGCCAGGGGCTGGGGCCGGAAGGGAAGAGCCACCCGCGACGAGGCCACGGACCCAGCGGCGGCGACCTGGGCGGGGTGGCCGACCGAACCCAACGCGCTGCGGCTGGGCGGGGATTGTCCTCTGCGGGATTCATCCACCGCCCCGCCGGGGGAGGGTCGGGTGGCGCGTGCGAGGGGTCGCCGGCGCGACGATGGCGACAGGGCGCGGGGGGCGCCCGTGCTGCCCAGCAACGGCGGGGGGCGGACGAGGGGCGCCAGGAAGCGCCAGGGGCACCTCACACGGCATTCGCCGCGGAGGCAGCCGCGGCCGCGGCCAGCCGGGCCGCTGCCACCCCCGCCCATCCAGTCTGCGTCTGGAAGCGCCGCAACACCGTCCGCGCGTTCTCGCAGGGAAGCGGAAAGTCGCTGGGCGTGTTGGTCCGCAACCAGCGCGGCGTCTTCCCCCCTGGCTTCAGTCTGTCCAAAACACAAACGACTGCAACTACAATGCAACAGACATCCCTCCAACACCAGAAGACGAAGAACCTGGACATATGGACTGCCGGTCCGTGCCAGTTCACATACAAGCAAGTACAGGGTTTGTCAGTCTGTCCAAAACACAAACGACTTCAAGAACAAGCAAGTACAAGGTTTGTCAGTCTGTCCAAAACACAAGCGACTGCAATAACAAAGCAACAAACATCCCTCCAACACCAGAAAACGAATAACCTGGACATGTGGACTGCCGGTCCGTGCCAGTTCATGTACACACACAAGCAAGTACAAAGCAAATCCCTCCAGCACCAGCAGAGTATGAACCTGGACGATCGGACAGCCGGTCCGTGCCAGTTCACGTACACACAAGCTACAAACTCCCTCCATCACCAGAAGACAATGAACCTGGACACTCGGACTGCGGGTCCGTGCCAGTTCACGTACACATACATGCAAGCGCGCGCGAGCAGACACACACACACACAAGCGAACGTGAGCGTGAAACCCTCCATCACCAGAAGAATGCCGCCAACTACGGCCCCCCATTGGTCGACAGAACAAGACGAGGCACAAGAGAACACACACGCACACAGACGACACAAGCAAGAAAGAAAGAGAGGGAGAGGGGATGGACCAGAGGGAGGAAGAGAGGGAAGACAAGAAAGGAAGAGAGGGAGACAAGAAAGGGAGGACAAGAAAAAGGAGGGCAAGAGAGGGCAAAAGAAAGGACATTATCCGATCTTCGACCGCGCCAGACAGACACCCTGCTTCAGGCACGAGAGGTAAGGATGCTTCCGGCAAACGCGTTCCACTGCCCGGTCAAGGACAGGCCAGGGGAACTCTAGACAACGCAACTCAACGATGACGTTGGCAAGAAGAGAAGACGGGTCAGAATCGAAACACCGATCAATCGTCTGCACGATATGGCCTTCGATGGCCCCCAACATAG